AAGTTGTCTAGATCCATAAGCAATAACTTTGCCCTCTTGCATTAACACACATCCTAACCTTTTTAAAGAAGCATATGTGTATATAGAAAATCTACCCTTATTGTTTAGTAGGGTTAGAATAGGGGTTGAAGTCAATCTTCTTTTTAATTCTTAGAAACTTTCTTCACACTTTTCATTCCATTCAAGTTTCTAGTTCTTCTCAGTTAGCTAAGTTAATGGGCTAGCTATTTTTGAATAACCCTCTACAAATCTTTTATAATAACCGACTAAACCCAAAAAACTTCTCACTTTAGTAGCCATAGTTGGTCTCTCCCATTTCACAATAGCTTCTATCTTGCTCGAATCAACTGAAATGCCTTCACCAAAAATCACATGTCCTAAAAAACTGACTTTATTAAACCAGAATTCACATTTGTCTAGCTTAGCATACAATTTTTGCTCCCTCAATGTCTGTAACACAATGGTCAGATGTTCTTTGTGTGCTTCTTCATTTGGTGAGTAAATTAATATATCATCAATGAAAAGAATAACAAATATGTTTAGATATAATTGAAAATTTTTGTGCATCAAATCCATAAAGGCAACAGAGGCATTGGTTAACCTAAAAGGCATAACCAAAATTTCATAATGGCCACACCTAGTTCTAAAAGCTATTGTCAAGACATTTTCTGGTTTAATTCTCAATTGGTAATAGCCTGACCTCAAGTTTATTTTAGAAAACACCTTAGCTCCTTGAAGTTGATCAAATAGGTCATCTACTCTGGGAAGTGGGTACTTATTCTTGATTGTCACTCGATAAAGTTTTTTGTAATCAATGTAAAGCCTTAATGACCTATCTTTCTTTTTCACAAAAAGAACTAGTACTCCCCAAGGTGAGTTACTTAATCTAATAACGCCCTTATCAAGCAGTTCTTGCAATTGTTTCTTCGATTCTATTAATTCCATGGGTGTCATTCTATAAGGTTGTTGAGAAATAAGGGTAGTTCTAAGAACTAGATCTATTGTGAACTCTATCTCCCTTTGTGGAGGTAATCTTGGCAATTCTTTAGGAAATACATCTGCAAAATTCTTCACTACATTGATTTCCTCAACAGAAATTGACTTTTCTCTATTTTCAAACACATAAGCCAAATATCCCTGACAATAATGTTGTAAAAATATTCTTGCTTTTATTCCAGAAATTAACATAGGGTTAACATTCTGTATTTCACCTTGGAACCCAACCATAGGTTGATTTGGAACATTAAAATGTGATTACTTTGTGAAAGTAACCAACCATAACAAAGTGGCTAGTTAACCAATCCACCTCCAAAATAACATCAAATTCTTTTATTCTTAGCAAAACCAAGTCTACTGGCATATTTCTATCATCCAACATAATTGAACAATCCTTATAAACAATTTGAGAAAATAAAGTTTCCCCATATGGTGTGTTCACTACTAACATTTGTTCTAGTTTACAAGACTTTTCATGCAAATTGGAACATATTTAGGTGTAACAAAGGAATGTGTAGATCCGGCATCTATTAAAATATATGCTAGTCTAGAAGAGATTGGTAATGTACCTTTAATAACTGTGAGATGTTGTTGTGCCTATTGTTTAATAAGTGTGAAAACCCTTCTAGTCACCTTTTGTCTTTTATTTTCTACAACCTCCATGGGTTGTTGGTTGCTTGTCTTCAAAGCGGGACAGTCCTTGATTGGATGTTCGATTTTACCACACTTAAAGCAAGTGTTAATGGCTCAGTAGCATTCCTTACCCCCATGATTTTTACCACATCGTTTGTAGCTCTCTAAAGTCTGCTTAAATCCTTCTATTGCCTTTCTTTTTCCCTTTCATTCTATCTTATTTTGGATCTATGAACTAGTCACTACCTTTCCCTTGCTTTTCTGATGACCCTCTTCTTGTTTCTGCTCATTCAAATCTTGTTCGACAACCCGTGTAGTAATTAAGACTTCATCAAAGGTTTTGAGCCTCAAAGGGACAACCTTGTTCCTTATAAAAGCCTTTAAGCCCTTCTCAAATTTTCTGGCCCTCTTAGCTTCATCTTTAGTCACATAAGGTGCAAACCGGGTTAAAACACTAAATTTTGCATGATACTCGTCCACAATCATTTCTCCTTGCCTTAAGTTCATACAGTCTTGTTTTTTCCTTTCTAAAACAGCTTTTAGAAAGTATCTTTGGAAAAAAAACTTCAACAAATTTCTCCCAATTAATTATCTCACCCTTCTTGGTTATTCCCTTTTGTGTAGTCGTCCACCAATCTTCTACTTCGCCTTCTAATTGATAAATGGCTAACTCCACCTTTTGCTGATCAGTACACTTCAAAATTTTGAAAATCTTTTCTAACCTTTTAACCCAAATTTTAGCATTATTAGCATCTTCAATGCCCTTGTAAAATGGTGCGTGTAGATTTTGAAATTGTTTTACTAAGGGTAGTTGGTCATTACCCTCAGCATTTTTGTTCACAGTCACATTATTACTCTGTTGTACTTGATTCCCCATATTCTAATTATTCTAACTTTGGTTGCCCTGATTTTGACTGACTTGATTTTGCAAAACTGCCATAAGTTGACTGTTCATCTCATGCATTTCTTTTTGCAAACTTTCCACCCTTTCCTCCAAAGACATGTTTGCTTCCAAAGTGGTAGTAATTTCTACTATGATTCTTCTACATCTTCTTTGATACTGTGATGTAAGAAGTATTCACATGTTAACTAGGCACAATGCTTAGGACACACTAGGCTTAATTACACAACAAATCTGTATCTTATCAAAACTTTGGCTCTGATATCAATTTGTAACATCCCCTTTTTGATAAACTAGAGGTTTATTAAGTAGGGAGATGTACTACACAGCTAAGGAAAAAAAAAACATAGAAAATATCTATAAAATCAAAATGTTCATTTTATATACTATTTCTAGGCTCAATACAATACAAAATAGGTTTAAAATCATTGAGCCAAATGGAAGTTTTGGGTAGATACAGATTTGCCTTACTAATATTTAAAACATAGCTTACAGTTAGTATAAGATCTCCACCCACAAAAATTCTTAAGGATAACAACTACTCTTCATTGTTATTATCTGAAATGGTAGGAAAAACACCATGACCTCACAGCCTAGTGAGCATAATTCTAAATCTTAAGTTAAGTTGACAATCTAATCTTAGTATTTTATGCGGAAAAATTCCTTTAGTTCTTAGTTGTACCAACCTTGTAGAAAATTAAGGTATTGCAGCCACAAATGATCACACATACACAACACATCAAGCACTTCAAAATAGAAATAACACAAATTATGGAGCCCACTGAATGTGTATGCACTCACATTAGGTGCCAAAGCTAATCATAGCACTTACCCATTGCGCAGAGGTTCACTAATTCATTGTTCTAAACCCCAAGCCTAGGTTGGGGTCCAAACTCTCCATAATTCTAAGACAATTGCATAACAGCACCATGTATAACACATAATCATGCATAACAATTTTCAATGTGTACTTAATATGGGTTGTGGAACTAATAGAAATAGGCTATAATGAAGTGCCTAGGTCAAATACATAGGACATAGTCCAGAAAAGAAGATACACATAACATATTAATCTCACAACTTGAACTGTAAAGATTTCACAGTTTCAGCATAAGTGATTTCTAGTTCAACTCACTACTGTATTTATTTCTCTCTTCTATTATATAATTTAAATTGCAGAAGTCTAATTTCTTATGCTTATTCTATTGTTTTACTTACCTTTAAACTTTGTTTGACAACCTTAACTTAAAATTAAGAATCACACTTATCACACACTTTCTTCAAAATCTTGAGCTTAGCAGAATTCTTCAATATTCCCTAAATCTGCCTAGCCTATTTGCACCGTCCTTCTCCTTCTCCTTTGGTCCAACTATAGGCAAAATGAACCAATTTAATGAGATAATCTCAAACCTCCTATCAAGTGGATCTTAAATTCTCCCCCACTTGGCATTTATTCTAACAAGTTATAGACAACGGGATTGTAGTACTCTCCCTAAAAATAGACACCTGATCTGTAGTTTATTAAAATAATATTCAAATCTCATAATTACAATTATTATAAATTAACCCCTAATTCTTGATGAGATAAAGGACTCTAACTTTAGACTTAATGTAAATTAAGACTTATTTTCTTTAATTAATTACAAATAAGAACTGGGATATCACACCATTACTATATTGCGTTGTAGCTTTTTTTTGTGTTGTGCTTTCACAAAAAGAATGTTTTTTGTTTGCTTGTAATTACGATCTTCTATTTGAGATATATTATCTGTCGAAATAAATCACAGTCATTTTGTTCAACTATAGCTCATTACCATCAAAATCCTTTGTTTCCATAAAAATTCCATTTTACTAGGTAACAGTGACTTTAGTGGTACTCTTGGAGAAATTGCTGCTTTCAGTGTCTTTCTTTGTTCCTCCATTGTAATCTTGATACTTTGGTTGCGGCCATTCAGATTCCAACTAAGGAAACCGCAAGATAATTTTGTCAGCCAACCAAGTGAGTCAGTTTTCAAAAAATGGTTTTAATATTTATAAATGATAACACGACATTATGTCTAGCTCGCACTTCACTTGTTCTAAATTTCATTTCTGCTAACGAGGATGCAGATATTCATTTGCGACAGCTTAAGAGGTTTTCTTTTCATGAACTACAAGCTGCAACAAATAATTTTAGCAACAAAAACATTCTGGGTAGAGGAGGATTTGGTAAGGTCTATAAAGGTCGCTTAGCTGATGGTTCTCTAGTGGCAGTAAAAAGAATTAAAGAGGAGTGGACCCCAAGTGCAGAGCAGCAATTCCAAACAGAGTTACAAATGATCACCTTGATTGTACATAAGAATCTGTTACGGCTACGTGGGTTTTGCATGACGACTACAGAATGGTTACTAGTCTATCCGTTCTTGGTTAATGGAAGTATAGCATCTTGTGTGAGGGGTACTGCTCCTTGTCCTCTTCCTTTGCTTTATTTATTTATGAAATTTCAAGCAATTAATGGAACCCGAATTCAGTAGTTTAAACTGTGGGGAAAAGGTAAAAGAGAAACTGTTTTCAAGCTTTGATGTCTCTAAGTCATCCTTTAATGCATTCTCTAGATCATCCGGATTCGGAACCACCACTTGATTGGAAAACAAGGAAGCGAATTGCACTGGGAGCTGCAAGGGGGCTTGCTTATTTGCATGATCACTGTGACCCTGAGATCATCCACCGTGATGTGAAAGTTGAAAATGTATTGTTGGATGAGGTATTTGAAGCTGTTATTGGAGATTTCGGGCTGGCTAAACTTATGGGTAAGGAAAATACGCATGTCACCACTGCTGTATGTGGCACAATTGGGCATATAGCCCCCGAGTACTTCTCAACTGGAAAGTCATCAGAGAAAACCGATGTTTTTGGGTATGGTATCATGCTTCTCGAAATCATCACTAGACAGAGAGCTTTTGATCTTGTTCGGCGTGCTAACAATGAGAATGTCTTGTTACTTGAGTGGGTATGTACTTTCTTTCCCAGTTTCGGATTAGTGGTGGATTTTAAATTTTGAGTTCTATCTTTCCTTGTGGAGTTTTTGAAGTCTCCAGGTATTGCTACGCTTCTTTTTGGTTTAAATCAAGCACAGGAGATTGAAGCTACAATATGTCCCAATAAACCTCTATATACCTCCTCAGCCACGAAGAGGGGTAAAAGTAAATATATGTAGACTTCCTGCATGTTACCCTCGTGCGTGTGTATGTGTGTGTGTGTGTTTTTTTTTTGTGGCCATACCCTTATGTTTTACTTTTGTGTTTTAGGAGTATTGTATTGAATACACAACTTGAGGAAAATGCAGCTTTTGAGGAGCTAATGTCACTAGTTATATTAGTTGACAAAAGAAAACATTATATTAGTAACTTTTTTATTCAACTGAAAGCATTCTACTCAACGTTTTCCTTTTTCTTTCCCCCTTTTCTTCTTTCACATATTTTAGGTGAAAGGGCTTCTGAAAGATAAAGAGTTGGAAACAATGGTTGATTCTGATCTTCAGGATGCCCACATGCAAGACGAGGTGGCAGAGCTAATCCAATTGGCTCTCCCGTGCACCCGAGCGGACCCTGCAAATCGACCAAAGATGTATGAAGTGGTTAGGATGCTTGAAGGTAACGGCTTGGCTGAAAGATGGGAAGAACGGCAACAAGAGGAAATAGACCATCAAGATAGTAACCATACCATTCACCCGAACATTCACTGGGTGATTGAAAACTTGTCCGCCATTACTCCAGACGTGTGATCCGGTCCTAGATGACCCTTTCATGGTTGTGACAAGTTCTTCGGTACCACGTTTTATAGTTTCCAGTTGCATTGTTCCTCATCTGAGTATCATTTGCACGAAAAGGAGATGTCGGCCATATAAGCATGGGCTAATTTTAATTTTGCATGCGAAGGGCTAAAAGAGAAGACAATGAAAGGGCAACTTAATTTAGTAGTTTAAATTAAATCATTCTACCCTATTTTTTCCAGATACAACCCTTGACGATGCAGTGTGATAACCAAAATTAATAAATTGTGTCCAAAATGATCTTCCATAATTATATTCATGCTGATTCCCAGTACTAACAGTTTAGTCCATCCGCTGTCGAGCAGGTGCAACATAAAATACATTAAAACTTCTAATTCTATTATATTATTACTAACTGCTTACTTTTGCAGCAATCAGCAGAATATATACTACTAAGAGCTGAACTGAATTAGTATTTTTTAATTTAAAAACCTTGATTTGGGGTTAAGATCATGGGTTTAAGCCTCTGCGATGCCAAAACATAAACTTTGCAGGATATACAGCTTCTTTGACTACCACATACATCAGGTGATGATCAAATATTCAATTCAATTAACTACCTGGAACACATCTTTTCCTACTCCTAGCTGCTCTTGCCAACAGCAAACGGATTCTTTTGCATATCACTACCATTGCGGAAGCTAAGAATACGATCATCCGTGATCAAGATACAAAAATGCATGTTTTGATCAGTTTCACTTTCTACCACTAGTTCCGATTCTTGGCTTGCTTTTAACATCTGATTCCTGAGCGCCAGAAAGAATACAATGACACAATAATGCAGCCAAAAGCACAAGCTTTACCTATCAAGAACATTGATAAGTACAATGATTAGTAAATAGGCATACCTGTGTTAGATGGAGGAAAATGTATGTTTTTGCTGTCGCGGGATTATGATTCTCTGCTCCCTTGCTCCAGTCATAGCACACCTGTTATACCGAATTCAAAAGCACTTTTAGTGCTAGGGATTTAAGTTACAAAATTATTATAGAGGCATTTATCAATAAGAGAAACTTTTTGAAGGTTTGTCTATAAGAACCCACACCCTGCAACCACCCCACCCTTAATTTGTGCATATGTTAGGTGCTGTCAACTTGGCATCCACCATGTACTTGTGTTCCCTCTCCCCTTGTCTTTCAACCCTTTCCTTTCTTAAGTTTAACTAACAGTGTCTGAAAATATCACTCACTTCAATTATAACGCAAAGCACTGTTGTCATCACTTTTTATCCACAACAAATATAGCCGCCCCATGTTTACATAACATAAATACAAAAAATTCCATTTAGTATATAAATGTGTACACATGGAGATACAGAGACAGAAAGGTAGATAAACACTTGGAGAACAAGAAATACTGAATTCAAACATTTGAGATAAACAAACACATAAAGAATGAGAAATACCGAATATGCAAATATTGAACCATCATTGTTGAAAGTGCTGCAAGGAATAGGCTGACTGCACCTGGACATAGCCTGAAAGTCAATTTTAGCTCGTTAAATCACATGGGGAATATGGAGTATTTATGAAAACTTCAAGTTTTCGGCAAACGTTTGTACCAGAAAAGTTAAATTGACTCCAATAAATTTAACTAACCATCAAAGTAAGACATAAGATCGATGAGATGACAAAAGTATCAAGATCTTTTATTAGCAAATAAGAAGCAAACATCCTATAATAAGATGATAAAAATAAAATTTACTAAATTTAGAGGTGACCTTCAGTCTCTGTTTACTATCCTTGTCCCAGAAATTAAAAGCACCATCAGAACCAGCTGTTGCAAACGTGTGATGCACCTGAAATAGAGGAACAAGCAGGATTTTAAGACAGTATATGAGATGTGAACACAAAAACAGAAGAACAGATTACAGAGTTATCGTCTATCCTTTTTCTTTCCATTAAACTTAATTTTAGAAAATGAAATTTAAGATAACAGAGTCATCACGTAGTAAGGACACATTAAAATGTAAGATTTGCCTATCACAAAGTCTGCAAAGGCAGTGCAGAAGCATACAGGATGGAAATTTAAAGAGTTGACTGAATATATCTCATTTCCATCTCTATGGCATTTAAAAGTAAAGTTCTTGTTTTGTTGCTGATCATCCAAATGATGCACCCCAACCCGTCCTTCTATTGATCCAACCTAGAGAGAGAAAATACAAGTCAGATAGGAATAGATGATGATTCATGATTCCACAGTAGCATTTATGATTTTTCTCCCTGGGATGTGGGGACTAGGAGGAATGCCAATCTATAATTAATTTGAAAATACAAAAAAAAAAAGAAAAAGTAAAAAGCAAACTTGGTTTTTAGCTACCATAAAAGAACTTGCTTTTACAAAATGAAATTGTTTTTAAAATTTAGGATGCAACATAAACCTAGGAGGGGAAAAAGGAATGCTATACAGAAAGTACAAAAAGCATGAGAACAAGTAAAAACCAAAGAAGGTAAAAGTAAACAAGGGCTTAACATTTACCAAGAAGCCTTGCAGGTCAGGAAAGGCAGCAACACACCTTGTCTGATACTTCAAGGGAGAAACAATTCTCTTGTACTCAGTCTGCATTTGAACCATACTTAGAACTGAAAACATAAGATAAAGGTACAAACAATTACCCAGTAGTTGCTTACGCCAGCTCTCAGACTTTGATATTATATTTATCATGCTAATCATACCAACTGTATTATATAGAACCTTTTCTTTTTCCTTTCAAAGTGTTAAGCAGGTTATTCATGTTGAGTCTTAACTCATATTGTGTTGCACTTGTAAATTTCATCTTGCGTTCATGTCTGGCCAAATGTGCCCAGCCATACTATCAGAGTGGACACAAACACTGCATGTAAATACAAAATGCCACTCCTAATGGTAACATTAGTAACATGGTAATGTCTTTTCACATCATGTAAGGCCGGCAGAAACTCACCTATTAACATTGTGCATTCCAAAAGCTTTAGCAGCACATCAACATATGGTATAGCTAGCTAATCATTCACCACGGGAAATCAATAGTGTTGAGATTGATTAATCCAAGAGACTTGCAACTTAAAGTTCTTGATAATTGTATTATAAGCTTTTACTTTATTTCTATTACATCAAGAAAGCGACAAGCTGTAAAATGAATTATCTTAATTAAAGCATCCATAAATAGAATGCTTATGCAGAGAGTAAAGAACCAGGTGGAATATATTGTTTAAATCTTCAGTACAGAAAAGCTTACCTGAGGATTTTGCAAGTTGAACACAATCAAGTTTCTATCAGCTGTGCCAACAACCATGAGAGGATGCTTCACTGCCATTGCATAGCAGCGCTCAGGAAGTTGTTGGGTATGCGCTGGGTTTGGCTGCCTTGTATCCCAATACCTGAAGAATGCCACAAAAGTCAACTCAGATGCAAAAGGACATTAATTAGTTCACAAATTAGGCAAACCCCTAATATTTATACTCCCTAAAGTCATTTTTTCTATTTGAAGAAATAAAGTTCATTATATCTCCAAGAACAGGACACTAACAGTACCAAGTAAAGAGATAAATATTGTTTTTTTGACTTACTTCAAAGTCTTATCCCAGCTCCCTGTGACTAATAAATTCATCTCAGGGATCCAAGCCATTTCTTTGATTGGTGCATCATGCATGGCTACAACCATAGGTTGGCCACCTGACATTAGAGGCCACATCTTCACTTGCTTGTCACAACCACCTGAAAAGATAGTCATTCCATCATCTTTCCAAGTGGAGCACAAAACCTGTAAAAAAGAACATAGCCATAGGAATATCAAATTGATAGACCAACTCACAAATTCAGGTAAGTATCAATCTGAACCACAGAACCAGTCCACTTTCAGTTCATTTCTTACAGATAGAAGTATGCTAATTTAGTGCATTCAAAGTTCTATGGGCCCAAAAGCAGATTAAGCAACTTATCTTAACCAAATGAAAAGTGAACATCTAATCCAAAAGGACTTATTATTGACCACGATCTTTCCTCAGTCTAGAGCAACAGATTTCGTGTTTTTTAGAAGACTAAAAGCCAGAAAAAATTCCTACAATCTTCACTTGTATCTTTTACACTCTTTTTAAATTTCATCAGTACTGAATAGTACCATGGCCTGATGATTATGCAAGTACCATACCCACCGCCATATTATACATGATCATGTTAGTATTTATAGGGCTATCAAACTGACACAACCAATGGCATGTATCTTATTTCTTAAGAATCAATTAAATGCAAAACACACTAAAATTTCAATCTGCATTTTATATAGAGAAAGTAAAGTTGGTATGCCTTCATTTTAATAGACAATTTTCAGTGGCACACACTACACTTTAACCTGAATAATAAGCTTTTAAAATTTCTTGCTAAATAAGTAATTTTCTTTTATTACTCTTCCTCATTAGTGAAGAAGATATATCAACATGAATTAGGCAGCAATTTGATTTATTACCGGCTGTTCATGTGATATTGATGCCTTTGGCATACTAGCAACATTTCCTCCAGATTGCATTATCTCCCAACAGCGCACCTAATTTTTTTTTTTTTTTCGAACAGTAAGAATAGCTCATCAGCATCTACAGTAACTTCTTGAATACCAACAGACAGAGCCACAACACTAACTTAAAATTCAAGCATAAGAAGCACAGTTCACCTGGTTATCCCAGGAGGTCGCAGCGAGGAAATTAGCCTTGGGACTGAAACTGAGACTGGAAACAGAGTCACTAGGAGGCTGAGCAACCTGATACATCATTCTCATTAGCTGGAAAAATTAGCATCGAAACACATTGATAGTTAGGAAGTAAAGTTCGGAGTTACCTCGAATGACTTGTTCGGATTAGGATTAGCGACGCTGGTTAAGAAAGTCGACATCGGAGAAGAGAAGATGAGAAATCACGGCGAGGGAAATGGAAGAAAACAACGGTTCAGGGCGAGTACTGGGAGTAAGTAGGGAACGGAGGGCGTCCAGAGAACACGAGACTCTGCATATTCCATAGCGTCTGGAGGACGCAGCAGCTTGACTTAACAGTACTTACCAAAAAAAAAAACAAAAAAACTGAGACTTAACAGTGAAGGTGACATGTGGCACCATTTGGTCCTCAATATTGTGGCACCATTTTGGTCATGTTGGCACATTTAATTTTATATATTTTTTCCCTTGACCCACCATGTTATAGCATCAATTTCGTTCAATTTCGTGAAGATGGGAGGGATAAAATTTTGATCGATTAATTAAATTGTAATAGTAACCAAGTTTATAATTTGATTAGTAAAAGAATGATTTTTTTTTTCATCATTTTATTTTTTTAAATCAAATATACTTGTAGAGATTGAATAAAATAAAAAAAAAATATAAAGATTGTATTTACTTCAAGAAAAAAGTGTTTATTAACCTTTATTAAAATTAGATTATTAACTTTAAAAACATTACTTTTTTAACGAATATTTTAAAAAATTAATTTTTAGATTTAAATTCCATTGATATAGATTATTTATATTAATTTTTAAGTTAATTTAACATCAATAATTATTCAATTAAAAAACTTATATTTTTTTAATATATATTTAATAATGATAAATTTTTTATAATTAATGAATCATTTATATATATTCAATTAATTTAAAAATTAATATACCTAATTTACATGAATAAAATATTAAAACTAACTATTAATTTCTAAAAATATTTAAAATAGTGTTTTTTAAGTTGGAGCTTTAATTTTTTTGAAAATCAAAACTGATATACATTATCTTTTTATTTTAAATGAAGCACTTTTATTATGTATTTTAGAGACAGAGCAATTTAAGGGCATACTTAGATTCAATCTATTGACTGAAACTCTATTTAACAAAGTTGTGAAAATTGGCTTTTTATTCAACACAATTTAAAGGCATAATTTTTTAAATTTAGTAACTATTATTTTACTTAAAAATTAAATTTTTTTAAAAAAAATTAGATGTTATTTTATTTAACATAAATATGCTATTAATTACTAAATATAAAAAAAAATTAAAACTAAACCACAAATCCCAACTTATGCTTTATTTGATAATGCTTTACATAGATCTTTTTTCACACAACACATCCCGTAAAAAATGTAAATTTATAATTTTTAATTAATTTTTATATATTTTTATTAATTTTAATTAATATTTTATATATTTTTAAAATAATAAAAGATAAAAAAACTTGTTGTTTTAACAACAGTGCAACATAGTACAACACATGACAAATGAAGGCTAAATGAAGTTTGTAATGCCTCGTATTCTTGGGCCTTGTAAAATTTATTATTGGACTTGTCTAAAATAAAATTTAAATTGGAGGGTTGAAATTAAATAGGTTTAATACCCAATTTGGTCCCTAAACTTTATTTTTGGAACTTAGTTCGTCCTTTAACTTTAGAAATGACTCAAATCTTCCTTAAACTTTATTTTTCCAAAACTCAAACAATCTTTCCGTCACGAAACTGCTTACTTGTCACGTTAAGTCTCCACCAATTAAAAGAAAATCCATCACTTTGCTACATCCTATGACTTCAAACCTTCAGTGTTTTAAAGGAAATCCATCACTTTCTCAATCTTCTTTTTTTGAGGTAAGCATGAAAACTGGTTGCAGTACAAATGCAAATTGAAATTGCTCCTCCACCAACCATAGCTCATCAAAAGCTCCTCCTTTTTTTCCCAAGTTTCCTTGCTCATAGCTGTCTTTGGACGAAGAGCATAAATAAAGGACTTTTTTGCTGGTTCCAAGCCCATTGCTTTAACTTCATGAACCATCTCTTCGAAGAAATCAACTTTACATGCAAATGCCCGAGGGTGCCACACTAGTAGTGTCTGAATATGGCCTTCTGGAACACCTTGTGCACACAATGTGGATATATTAGGAACCATAGCCTTATCAGGATTACACCAAAAAATACTCCATGTACTAACACTTTTCAAAGAACACACAATGTTCTCACCTGTCCCAAAATTCCCTTTAACGAAATCAACAAAAGTTATTATTTGCTTCTTCAAACTACTCTTGAGAATATGTTCTTTTGAACAGAGAACCTTAGTCAGGCTTTCTCCCACAATGCCCAAAGACTCAAAAAACTCAATCTTGGGCCTAAGAGTTTTCTCCACGTTAGCCATCAAACAACGTGGGTGCTTAAAGATCAAAGTAGCAATGTCAGATTTAGTGAAACCATAACTTTTTAGAAGCCTAAGAACTGAATCTGATCCTTCGGTGTTCTTAAGGTTAATCCACTTAGAAGCTGAAATAGCTTTATCCAACCAAAACCCACATGGATCAGTGAGGAAACAAATGGTTAGGGATTGTTGTTGGTGTGGTGATTTAGGAGAAGGAATCGTCTTCGTCTTATTGTATCGCACATAACTAGCTTTCAGATCCAACTTCCGATACTAAGAAAATGCTTTGTGGAAAAAACTAAACATCTTTTCATATAAAATAGACGGATGAGTAATGGGCAAAAAACAGATATAAATAGGCCATGCTTCCACTCTCAAATGAACCTGCACCCAGACTCCGTGCACTAGTTTCCATGGTCTGATTCTCACAAAGCCAAAATCTAAAAAACAAATAGCAGAGGATTTAGGGTTCAAGGAAAGAAGAATGAATAACAAATGTAGATGATTTGGGGTTCGAAAAAGAAGGAATCACAATGGGTAGAGGATTTAGGGTTCGAAGAATAAGGAATCAAGAGTTGCAGAGGATTTAAGGGGTCGAAGAAGAAGGAATCAAGGGTTTGGAGAAGAAAGAATCAAGAGTTGCAAAGGATTAAGGGGTCGAAGAAGAAGGAATCAAGGGTTTGGAGATTGATCTGAAAGCATTGTCGATTGCTTTCTCATTTTCTGGAAAGAGGTTTCGAAGAAGAAAGGGGAAAGGGAAAGTGAGAGCGAATCTAGAAGGAGGTTTGTTCGACAAACGGAGACAATGTGGCCCATTTTTTTATTGTTTTATTTTATTTAGAAGGGTGGAGATTGCCATGTCATCAATTGGGTGAGGTGTATTGTCCACATAAGCTTGCAAAAATTGAAAGAGTAATTGGTGGAGACTTAACGTGCCAAGTAAGCAGTTCCGTGATGGAAGGATTATTTGAGTTCTAGAAAAATAAAGTTTAAGGATGATTTGGGTCCCTTCTAAAGTTAAAGGATGAACTAAGTTCCAAAAAAAAAGTTTAGGGACCAAATTGGGTATTAAACCAATTAAATACACAACCGGAGGACTAAGTTAACAAAAGGATTTTAATTTAGGGACTAAATTGCCTAGGGTTGAGAAGTCAAGCAATTTAAGTTCCAAATTATTAAAACTTAAATCTGCAACCCTAGACAGCTCTTTATAATCTCTTTTTAATTTTTGCGCAATTGTGACTCTCCTCCTCTTAGACGCCCATCTAAAATTTCTTTCTTTTCATGAAATCCTCCTCTTTTGTGGTAAATTACCTTGATTTGAGAATTTTTCTTTCAAGGAAGGAGAAACTTTCTTTTTTCTCGTTTTTTCTCTTTTTTTTCAACGTACCCTAGGAGTTTGGCCAAAGGCTCTCCCAAGCCCTTATGCCGCACGTGACCTAGCCCAATAGGCTAAGGTTTGGCCATATTGTTGTTCAAGGACTAAATTGCCATTTTGAATTTGGTAGTGAGCAATACCCATAAATCAAGAGCAATATTTAACAACATATCATGACTACTTAAAGTGATAGAAATGTTGATGGTTTCAACCAACCTTTTTATAACCATTCTTTCTAGCAGCATATTAATGCACTTGTGTAATTCAATTCTTTTGTCACTTATATGTCAATTAAGAAAGATGCATGCTACATGTCATCATCTTTAGAACTTGATAAATATTTATATATATATATGAGTAAGATTCATTAACACACAAGTTTTATATATTACATTTACACAAAATCTCAATAATTCATATCTCCATTTTCAATAGTTGAAATTTATTCATATTTATTAAATATAATTATTTTTTTCTTTTAAAAAGTCATGACAAATTTTAATTATTGAAAGTGAAAAGATGAAAGTCGAATGATCATAAACACACGTGTCATAATTGAGAAGCCACTAATGACATGTGCATATAGTGTCCTCATGATGAGTCAATATGGTGCACTCATCTTCTTTAAGTCACCAATGTGATTCATGGCTTTGTGAGAAGAATTATTGCCACCTAACAAAGTATCACACATGTTAGTTTTTACATTATTAATGTTTTATCTCAATGATATATATGATTAATAGACAATTTAATAATATTATTATTACATCATATGTTCTTATTAATAGTGATAATTGTTGTCATAACTCAAATTTTTTACTTAATTTTTATTTTTATCTTATTAATATTTACTCAAAATTTATCACAACTTGACTTGGTTAATTTGAAACTCTTTAGAAATCTTGATTTTTCTCAAAATATTAATTTCTCATAGTCTTTAAGTCTAAATTATAATTTTCTAGATTTTTGAGCTCAATGTGACAGGAAAATTAATACTAAAAGTTTTGTCAAGAAAAATTGAGATTAAATTTAATTAAATGATATTTCGTACCAAATTGAGAATATTTAAAATCAAGGTTTCATTTTGCAGGGACTTAAATGTGAGGCAGACTAAGTTTGAGGAGCAACGTCACATGCAGATAAAGTCCAGGGACTAAAGCGCAAGAGAGCCATCAAACGACGTCCATTTGGATTGAAAGGGATTTACACCTGTATACCTGATTTCCCTCTTCCAGCCGTTCGCACATGCACCGTACGCCGCAGGGGCTCGGTTCAAGCTTGCGGCTTTCTCTAATCTCAGATTGACGGCCCTTGGTTGCAGAGGGAACTTTGCGGAAAGGAGAAGGAAGTAAGTCTCGTGTGAAGGCTCTGGGTATAAAAGGGTAAGATCTGGGGTTTTACAGAGAGGAGTTTGTTTTTGTTCTGAAGGTGGTTGGGTTTAGGCGATTCGGTTCTGCTAAAAAAAAAAAATTAAAAGGAACTCGATTTGGATCTGTACCTTGGTCAATCGAAGATTGCAGTTCCTCTTTAGAAACAAAGCTCTATTTCCAGTCATGTTCTGCTTCCGGTGATCCAGGATCCTTCAGTCCTGTGGTCATTGGACTTTTTTTTACCCACCCAAAAAAATAAATAAATAAACAAAAAGCTGAATTAGATATAGGGTTCTGGAGTTAAAGATTTGTACGTGAAGACCCTGTTTCCTTAATCTTATCAGTGTGAGCAAATGCTCCATTTCAATAAAATTTCAGTTCTTTCCTGATTCTGCTGCATCTTGTTTCAAATTTTCGTTATTTTATTTTATTTTATTTTGTTTCTCTGCACTTAAATTTTGGAAATTGTTGAAGTGTTAGTCTAGGCCATGGCTAGGATGGCGAACCCAATGGATATTGGCTTAGCATCCAAGGCCTAGTTTGTCTGCGGAGTTTTAAGGTTTGTGCAGTGCGATTATCTGTGCTTTTGATTGAAATTTGCTTAAATTCGTGCTTATCAGTTTGCATATTTTGATATTTGTTGTGATTAATTGATCAAATATTAGAATGAGCTTAATTTTAAGTTGGTAGTACAATTTATACAAGCCACTTTATGCCTAAACCCAAATCTGGTTGTTATGGTTTGACTTTTTAAGTGCAGGGCAAAAATGTCTCCTGTTAAAGGTATTGAATTTCTTGAATGCTTCCCTTCTTTGATTGCATTTATGTGATTTTTGGTTTATATCTAGCTAGTTTCTCATGGTTAGGTGTCCTACGCTTGAGTGTTCATTCGCACGAATTAAACATTTGATCATAATTTATACATAATAGAATTTACCTAGGTTCAGCACATTAGCATCTCCTGGCACTTCTGAGTTCTATTGCAATTTTCTGTATTTCTCTGTTTAATTTTTTTAGGATACTCTATGTCTTACATGAAGTTTAACAAATAAGTACAGATTTGGTATCATGCTATGTCTGTGAGTACAAATTTGCTGGTTGATTATTGAGTCTAAGTCTCTCATGTGTCATTAGGTATTTTGTTTGAGTAATAAACCTTAGAGTACAAGAAGTAAATTAGTGTCAAAGTAGAGCTTAGAAAGTTGATCATGCATGCTAAGTCTCAAACTGAAATCTGTGGCAGAATATAAGCTTATGCAATGATTTGAAATTGAATTTCTTTTCCTCCTCGTTAGGATTCCTTTAGACCTTGTTCTTTGTGAAATTATTACTAGCAGATTGGCTGTATTGTGTTTATTACTGCCCTTTGAATGTTTACATGAATTTTGCTACTCTGATGATCTTCTGCTTTTATATGTGTATCTATAATAGCTCAGACAGTAGTTGATTTATATTTTTGCAGATTTTTATTTACTTATTTGTTTATTTATCTTCCTCATTAATGTGGTCCTCATGGCATTTTATCTGGGTCGTATTCTGGCTTTGGAGTTGGAGTTCATGAGTACTTAAGAAAGCATTGAGTTTTCAAAACTCATTTTTATCACATTGCAATATTTCTGTTTTACCTTATTTTATTTTTCTCTTGTGGGTCTCAGAGAAGTCTGTCTGTATCGTCACTTTTGTCTTGCCTTGAGAATGCATTTTTCTTCCTTAGAGATTTCATTGCCGCATGTCTTGCACTTCATATTTCTTTCATGAAAATCTATACAATGTTGAGTGTTGATCAAAGGCTCATGTACATGATTGTTAAAGAATGTTAAAAGTGTTTTTCTTGTTTACTGTTCTGCACTTGCTATAAGGATTTTCTCATTATTTCCCTTGTGTTTTCTGGTAAGGTTTCTCTGCCTGTGTTCTAACCAAGCATTTTCTGCATCTCACATTTGCATTGTCCCTCGGTGCCTTTTAAAAGAAAAACCTTTTTCTTGTGGCTGTATTTTGGGTCTGATTTACCTTCTTTGTTGATTGGTCATCACTATATAGTCATGCATGTTTATCACTATATTCATGCATGTTTTGAAAGTATGAATTTCATAAGTGTTTGAGTCTGCAGATAAATGCTCATTTAAACCTGAGATGATGATGTGGGACGATACAATTTGTTGTGGAAAGATGTCAACATTTGCCTTAAAAATTCCTTTGCCAGGTGCTTGTTTTGCCTTATACTAGTTCCCCCATTTTGTATTAGTTATTTGTCTTCATGTCACTCTCAAGATAAGTTCGTCCATATGGTTGTGTCATGTTCTTTTCATGGTTTTGCGCTTCCTTTGTGTTTTGGCCTAACTTTCTAAGGTTTTCGTGTGATTTTAGCTGTCTAGTCTTGAATTTTATTTTCATTTTTTTGGGTATTCATGAATTCTGTGGATTGGGTGGTTATGAATTAGAGGGAACTCTAGGTGTTTTTCCCTGGTCCCCTCATGTTCTGGCTGCAATTCTTGTCATAAATCACCATTGGCTTTAGTTTGGAATTTTTGTTCCCATGTTCATAATCTTCTCATTTCTGTCAAGCCCTTGCAATTGCAAGTCATATCGTCGTGTCTCTTAACCCCCTAGAACAATTTTATATTCTGTTAGATATTTGGAATGAGACTTTATAATGCATGGAATCATGTTCAAGTTAAAAATTTAATATCCATTTATTTGTGTTAGTTCATCCTTAAGTGCAATAAATCTGAGTTGCATTTTAAAGTTAAGTTTCATTTCTAAGCTCATGATTGCTCTCGCTCCTCCATATCTGAGCTTTGATCTGCAATTTAACGGCGTTGAATGTCTTTTGTTTCTTTAAACCTGATTTTCATAGCAAGTTCGCTGGTTATTTCTTATTTAGGCTTGGTTTAACCGTGATGTGCTGCACTTGTAGCAGTAGGTAATTTCTTGTCTTTTTACCATTGAATAATATATAAAATATCAATTAAAATTAGTAAAAATATATAAAAATAATTCAAAATTAAAAATTTA